CACACAACACATATACACGCATATACATTCTCTTATTTCATATTTTATTAGGAACAACCTGAGCATGGCGTTTACACAGTATTTGTGAGTTTAGGAAATACAAAAATTGAATTATTACATCCTTATGGTGATAAATCACCAATTCAAAATTTTTTAGAAAAAAATAAAAATGGTGGAATTCACCATGTTTGTATTGAGGTAATCAAATGCATACTGCATCATAACAACACACACACACACATATTTATTTATTTATTATTATTATTATTCTAAATTCAATTATTATTGTTATTATAAAGGTTAACAATGTCACAGAAGCAGTTAAAGAATTGACAGAAAAAGGTGTAAGAGCATTAGATCCTGAACCAAAGATCGGTGCGCATGGGAATCCGGTTATATTCCTACACCCAAAAGATTGTGGTGGTGTTTTAGTTGAATTGGAAGAAGTTAAATAAATCCTTTTTTTTATATACACTTATTTCTTAATCCTCAATTTTCACATTTATTATTACATTTTCACTATAACCACCATTCTTTTTTATGTTAAAATTGAAATGGCCAAAATAATTTTAAATAGATTATCATTGTTAGTATGATCTTAACAAATGTATGTATGCCGCCAAATCCCAAATCATTTGTGACTATGAAATCAAAATGCACAAATTAAATTTGGGCAAAGGATGAAATTTAGGGCATCCCAAATTATATAAATCCAAAACCAAATTATTTTGACGTCCCATACTATTAAGTGTACTACCACATTAAATCCCTTTTCATTAGTAATAGTGCTAGCAGTAGAGTAAAAATAAGATAAATTTATTTTCATTCAAGTAGAAGAAGAATTACATGCAACAGCTGAAACAAATCAAAATTAGTCAACATTTGATGAATTGATTGATATAGATGGCAAAGAACTTTGTCGGAAATTGAGGTTTCTGTTCCCATTCCTAGCTGCTGAAATTATTGAACATGATAATACAGAATTTGATAATAGAAATTGCAATGTTGAGTAGAACAAGTGGATCAGTTCATGGAGATAATAATATTTATTGAATTATTATATTGATTAATTAAGTAATTTTAAACAAAAAATTTTTTTTTGAAATACCAGTTTGAATCTAGTTTATCCTAGCAAATTAAACAAAAAATTTTACTCGATTTGGTTAAAAGATGAAACTAACTAAATCTAATAAAGGAAGGCTTTTGTTTTGAACGTTTTTGGTAAATTTATTAAAATCAAAAAAATTTGGAATTTTTCTAAATATAGAAATCACGTGAATTTTAAATAGATAAAAAGGATACGTCAGTGTGGTTTATATTTTTTTTTTAGCTTGCATTGATTTAAATTGGGTTGTCCAAATCTGGAATGATATACAAATATATTATTCTAATACTAATTTTGGCAGAAATTTTCGTTTCGTGAACATAGTAAAATACATGGGATAAGACTCGTAATTTTTTTTGAAAAATCTCTCCATTACATTAAAGCTAGGGAGAGATCTTATATGTCAACTAATGGGGTTAAATTTTTAAAAAATATAGTAGTTCTTGAGTTCTATACTTTTAAAGTTTGCACAAAATTTAGGCCATATCTCACGGTATAATAAAAAAAGTTATTTTTTTGGGGATAATTGAATTGGATATTGTTACAGATGCAGAGATTAGCTTCCAAAAAAATATGGTGGGGGAGAATTAGCTCTTTACCAACTCATAACAACTTGTTTTCCGGCAATTCCGTTAAGAGTTTGTCTCTTGAATTTGAATTTGAGCTTAAGATTGTTTTTGTACTTTTATTGATGAAACAAAAGAGAAAAAACCATTATACACAAATAAACCTGATGAAGTTGGTCACTCAATAAATCGGACTTGGCCTAACTTGGACAATATTTTAGCCATTTTGATAATAATAAGTTGGACAATATATCCTGTAAGTCAAATAGCAACGCATGATTTTTTAAAAAATAAACCTTACCATTTTAAATTTGATATTTGCTTGAAATAAAAAAAACGATTTGAATCTTTGTAACAATAAATTCTTAGTATTATATCTATTGCAAGTTGGACAATAATAAAGATGATTTTTAATTGTTTAAATAAAATTTTAAGATCTCGTTAATTTTATCAGGAGATATCGACATTAGATTTTTTTGATAAAGCTCTAATTTTGAGAATCGCCTGAAATTTTTTTCTTTTGGCCCGGTTTTTTATTTCACATCAGGCGTGTATTTGATAACTCGGATTTCTTTGATAAGTCACCATGCCCAGACATTCATATCCGACTTATCAAGTTTACCTGTATATTGAGACAATGCCTTTCAAATTTTATTTTTTGTTGATGATAGCGTGACCATGTGAATTTGAAACTCACATATGAGAAAATTAGGTGCCAATTTCGAAAAATTGAAACCATAGAATTGTAGAGAAAGGTCTTGGCTTTAATTATAGGGAATTAGAAGATCTGCAAGACCGATCAAAAGACCTGACTGTATTAATATTAAATATTACTATATACACAAAAATGATTAGTTTGTTTGTTTTATGCAAAAAAGTAAATTTTTGGTAAATCGCGGAATTATAAATGGGGATTTTTTTCTAAAAAAAAATAAATAAATAAATAATAATAGAAATAATAAAAAGTAATAAAAACAAAAAAGTAATAAAATAATATGACAACAACCATTAATCAATTATCATCAAAAATTATTAGAAAAATACTCAAAAATATTTATGGATTTAGAGGAAATTACCGTAGAAAAGAAAATTTCCATGATTTATATTCGTGTATATTAGTGAATAGATCATGGTGTAAGATTGGAATACCAATACTTTGGTCATCGATATTTTATTCAATTCAGACAACATTAAGCTATAAAGTAATTACGATATATTTAAAATGTTTAAAAAAAGAAAAGAAGTTGCAATTGATTAAAGAAGGCATTAGATTGGAGGATGAAGAAGGTGTATTAATATTAGGAAACGATAGTAACAGTAGTAGTAGCATCAGTAGTGCTAGCAGTAACATTAGTAATAGTAGCTATAATGCAAATAATCCAATTATTAGAAACAGTAAATTATTATTCAAATATCCGAAATATTTAAAAGAATTAAATTTTGACAAATTTTTAAAAACAGTTTTTTTATGGAATAAAAAAACAAAAAACAATAAAATTAGAAATCATGAAATCATGATCAAAACATTATTAGAATTATTTTATCAATACAAAACAAAAATTAAATATTTCTCGATGAACAATGTTTCAAATTATTCAATTAATGAAGAATACTTTAGAAATTTAGAGAAAATTAACTGTAAGCTACTGATGCATCATTCAATTAGAAAAGTATTTTTTAAATTTAAAATATTAAGCATCGAATGGGATTCTATGTTGATTGATGGATTGATTGAGTCGTTGAGTGAGAATTGTAGGTCACTTGAATCAATAACTTTGAATTTTTATCATAATCCAAATAATTCAAATTTAAAAATCAACAAAATAAATTCAAAATTATTAGCAAAATTAATTTCTTCTCAATCAAATCTTGGGAGATTCGTATTAGCAAATTATCACACTTTCACACATCTATTTATTGAATCATTAAATAATCAGACACATTCATTAAACACTTTGGAATTTTATTATGTAGATTTTAAAGATTGTTATTCTTTTGAAGTTTTATCAAAATGCAAAAACTTGAAACTCATCACCTTTGAAAATTGTAAAAATTTAAATAATAACAATAATTATTTAATCAATCAATTAATTAATTCTAATTTACCAAATTTAATTAAAGTCAATTATTATGAGAACAATTATAATAACAATAATATCAACAATATAGATTTGATAACAGATCTATTTAATTGGTCAATAAAAATTAATTACAAAGGAAATTATTTATTAATTATAAGTAAATTATATGATAAAAGGTATTTATTTAAAATACTTATTTATACTTTTATTTTATTAATATTATTTTATTATTTTATTTTTCCAATATTAATTTATTTATCAAGAAAGATTTGTAATTAATCTTTTTTTCAAATTTTTTTTTTTTTTTAAATAAATAAATAAATTTTTTTTTTTTTTTTTATTACAAATTTATATAAATACAATTTTTCTGTTAAGTGAATAGTATTAGATATTAATACACTGACACTGTTTTATAATGCGCATTGAGGATCTTTAAGTCTACATCGTCAAACCCGAAAATAAAAATTTTATTAGTCACAATATGATTAACAAAGATGATGGTAAATATGCCTGTATACCAAATCCTATTGAATTCCAACAAAACTGGATTACATCCAGTATAATATTTTTTTTTTAGAAAAATTAATTTTTTCTAGTTCTTGGATCTTCTTGAATATTGTCCCATTTACAAATAATATAACAAAGAAGTAAGCTTCATAATTAAACAACTTTTTACAAACTTCCATTTTATATCAAGATTTCTTTGATAAAACCTTACTAATGGAAGATTATCATTTAACTTATTCCTCAAATGAATAATATAATCCAAATGATTTTTAATTCCAAATCATAATTAAGAATTGTTACAGCTTAATTTACTAACACTAGCAATAATTGATTCCTTATTATATTTGTTCTATTTTTTTTTTTCTAATGATTAAATAAAGTATGATATTATATGGGGTGTACTCAACACAGAGAACATTTGTTCATCACCAATGTGATTATGATTTAATGATTTTATAATATCTTTGATTTTCTTCAATGATATATAGAACTACTCCTATAAGAATAATTAATGTGAAATAGATTTACATCAGATTTGCTATGGAACCAAAAATTATAGCACTATTAGAAGCATTGTGAAAAAGGAACAAGGTGAGAAAATTGCTCCCTATATTGCTAATTAAGATATGCTTGAAAACTATCTACCCATGAAATTTATCAAGAAGAAAAGAAAAATCATAGCTAATAAAGAACATTAACACAAAGCCATGAAGAACCTAAAAAGAAAAGAAGAATAATTTACTACCTATCTTAGGTTAATTATCAGTATAGGTGAGCATGTGTATATTATCTTTAAAGATCAAAGAAGTGGTAAAGATGGATAGTTCTTGCCTTGTTGTGTATTAGCTTTATTAGCTTTATAATATTTATCTAATAAATTAAAACAAGTTTTAACCAGTGCCTCTGCTAATAGGAATGGCATTGTCAGCTTGTTCACATCTTTTGCAAAGAACTTATAATTAATGGGAAAACCAGTTATCACAGCACTGTAATACTATGATTTTTGTGGGATGGATAGGAAATTTTTATGTCCTAGAACTACATTTATTATCATCTAATCTATAGTATGAATAAAATTTACTGATAATTAGTCCTTTTGGTGATAATAGTTCAGGATAATTTGCTATACTTGTTGTTCCTATTTATATTTAAAATGCTCAGTTATTTTTTGGCCACATTTCATAGCTTTTTAATTCTTGGATTTCCTTTTTTTTAATTTCTCTATCTGGTGCTGTTCATACCATTTTTCTATCCAATTCTATTTATTGCCCATTAATTTACATGGTATACCCTAAAAAGACCAACTGTAATTAATGGCACAACAGCAAGACATGACAGCAATCAATATTATTAATTCATTCTATGTTTTTCTTTCTTCTTAACAGATATCATCAATGTTGTTCCTCCTACTAAAACTCATGGTAAATAATTTAATTGGTTGTTTCAGGGTTGGAAATAAACTGGGTACATTGAGACCAATGAGTTTTGGGATGGTCCATTGCCATTAATAAAATACTAAATATAGTATGTTAAAAATCTTACACTGATGGACTATAGTTGTTTGCCATTATACATGAAGTTGAAACTATTTTGACCATTTGCAGATCTGGTTGAAATAGGGTTGAAATAAGGTCAAAACTGATCTTACTATGTAGTTGCCTCAAATTGAAACATTTCAACCTTGGGGTTTTAATTTCGACTTCATGTATAGTTGACATATCTGTAATGCCATAACTAGTTTTTATAGTTGCTATAATTGACTTTAATAGTTGCCCAATTTATCTCTATAATTATTTGGACTTTTTAAGTCAAATGCAGTTAGGGATATTTCCATAGATGGAAATACTAAATACTGTAATGATCGATGGTATGAAAAATTCTAGAAGAAATTCTGATTGGCTAAATTCAACCAGGGATAATACCCTGTAATGATCGACATTATGAAAAGAAATTCTAATTGGCTAAATTCTGTGCAGATCTTTTCGTTGAATAAAAAATAATGAAAAGAAAAACAAGAAAAACATGGCGGGAGCTTTATTAATTGATCATATAATTTACAAAATTATATAATATGTGCATTTTTAACTTTTCTAGAAGTTTACCCAAGATCAAGCAATGCCAGAGATGCTATTTAACTAATATATAGCATATTATTATATTAATAATGATTTTATTCCATTATTAAATAATTTATTAAACTGCCATTCATCAGAACAAAATACTTCATTTTAAAATTTAAATAATACCATATAAATTTCCTTGCCAATTCTATTAAATAATAAATAAAGGATACATACAAAATCCATATAGTAAAAATAAATAATGATTAATATATTGAAGTCAATAGCCACCATTGTAAATAATTTATTTGGAGTTTTATGCTTACATTTCCATACCAAACTACTTTAGTGCTCCATGCTGCAATTCAACAAAGTTGTTGCAAAGGCAGTTATGACTAGGTGTTGCAACCACCTTTACAACCATTTTGTTTCCTTTTTTGGATTGCGACATGGAACACTAGTATCCTTAAAATAAATAAATAATAAAGCCTAAATAAAAGTATATTGTTATTAGCAAATTAATTTACATGAATAAATATAGTAATGGTGATTCTGAATATACTTAATAATAAGATTTGCACCAACATGGCGTCAGCTGGCTTTCTGGATATTTTTTTGCAATATCTTCATGCAAACAATACAAACATAATGATCTAAAAACCAATAAAATTAAATTCTAGTCATAAATTTCTAATTTTAGTAAAAAACATACTTTGAACAAACCAACAGATTATTACAGATTATTAATGGACTATGAAAGAGCAAGTTTAATAGTATTTCTTTCAATTATTAATAAACTGATTTATTTTTAGAAAATGTAACATAGATATAACAAGAAGTATCTTTTGAATTCATTTGTAACATATAATGAATTGATCAGCAGACTATTCTGGAATCGAGTCCCGATATGGAAATATCCCTGACTGGAATATTCATGAATACATTAGTGCTGATCCTTTTTTTTTAACATATATAGTACAATGCAAAAAGTAGATTAAATTCACCATATAGTAAATATATCATTTTTTTTAGTAAATAATTTTTTTTTTCAGATGATATCCTTAACAATACTTTGTATTTCATAATGACAACGATGACGATGATGATGAATTGTTGACTTTGTGCCTATTGTTTGACTTCTTGCCTATGTACTTATCCTCTATGCTCAGAAACTTTTGCCTGCGCATGCTTCTCGCAGGCGAACCCTGTTCATGTTTCACCTTTGGAGATGTCCATTCAACCTCGGCGCAAATTATTTGTGCGAGGTTCTCACCTATGAACAATTCCCCTGCAGCGCTAAAGATTGGTGATCTTTTTGATGCTTCCACGATTGCAGAAAATCTTGGGTTCGAGAGGTCGTAGACACAAGGGATCTCGACATCTTCACTTGAGGAAGTGAACGGGTTGTAGACTTTCTTCCCCAGAACAAAAAAATTACTTTCGTGATCAGTGACCATGGCTTCTGCGACACAAGGAGCACAAAATGAAGTGAACAACGGGGTGATCGGGAGGTTGTGGACTCCAGGTTCTTCGTGAATTGTTTTTAGGTCAAGATCCACTGCCTTTAACACAATTACCTGCAAAAATATAAATATTTATTGTCAAGTTAGTTTAGGAGTAAAGGAATAAAACACTTCCTTCACACACACACAGCATAAATATATTTACGTATAGTTGACCAGAAATGAATAGAAACTTGCCCACAATAGACATTATTCGGAATTTTTCTATTCGATGGACCATGTTGTTGTTGGCGGAGTTCATTCTGAATGCTTTATAGTTGACCTCCACATATTCTTGATCTTCTATATGGCATACAGCCACCCCAGTCACCGTATGTGATCCACTGGCTGATTTAATGAACATGATTGATGACAAGATAGATGACATATCAAATAATCAAATTAATGAAATACTATGCAAAAGCAAATGAGTAAAAAATATTCAAGAGGCGAATCGGTTTGTTTTTTATTCATTTATTTATTTATGCATCCCAGATCAAAAGGTCAATTTGATCAATTAGATTTTTTTTTAAGCCTACGTAACTGTAATGTTTACTTTCTTAACGACAATAGTTTCTCGAATGGTATTTTAATGATTGTAAAAATACAAGTTAATCTTTATTATCTTAATATGATGTCCTTTATATATAAAATTACATA